GAAGGTTATGTCAACCAGTTTGATGACAGTATTCCAAAATGTATATGAAAACAGCACACTGTACCCCATGATTGCATTAATGTACACAGTTATGCTATAAGAAATTAAAAAAAAAAGTCATCTTAAATCTGGATCCCCCCGGTTTGTTTTTCAGTCTGCAAGTGGTTATCTCGTGGCGGCGTTTGTCTACGTGATGGAGTTTGTCGGAATGAAGTCTCGGACGTGGGCCTCTATCCATTTGCATTCCTTTTTTGCAATTGGAACCATGGTGGTGGCTTTCACAGGCTACTTGGTCAGGACCTGGTGGATTTATCAGATGATCCTCTCCACAGTGACTGTCCCCTTCATCCTGTGCTGTTGGATGCTCCCAGAGACGCCCTTTTGGCTTCTCTCAGGGGGAAGATACCAGGAAGCACAGAGAATAGTTGATACGATTGCCAAGTGGAACGGGGTGCGCTCCTGTAAACTGTCAGAACTTTTAGCCCTGGATGATCCTGTTCGCAGGAGCTCCCCTGAGATTAAGACAAACAACATATTATATCTGTTCTATGACTGTACTGTTTCAATAAGGACGCTTATTGTCTGGCTGATTTGGTTCACGGGGAGCTTGGGATTCTACTCCTTCTCCTTTAATTCTCTCAATTTAGGAGGCAACGAATACTTAAACCTCTTCCTCCTGGGTAAGTAGTCAAAATATATTTAAAGGCGGCAATGACGTGAGATCTCCACCATGTTTTTAGTTTGTGTTTACTAGTCTTTTTTGATCAGAAACAAGACTGCCAACCGTATTATTAGGGTATCTTTTAGTGTTGTGGTATCACAAGTGTACATACGAAGTCTCTGAACTTCAAAAAGTTCATGGAAAAATGGAATTAAAGATAAAAATACAAACTACAAACATTATTCTCAACATAAGCTCTGTCAAGTTCAAGACACTTTGGTAATCAATCAATGGTTTTTTAGTCCATCCCTAAGAAACCGAGGCTCTTGGGGATTTAACCAGGTTAATGGGGTCTTTTTTGACTTTATTAGCTGAAGAGAAATAGGTGCCCTTTGTAGATTCTGTGAGATTAAGAAATAGCAGGAGCCAATCAGGACCATAAGGTGGAAGCCTAATGACTTCCCACCAAAACTCTCTCAAAATTGCTCTTATTTGATGAGAGGGATGAGTACAGTGTTGTCCTGGAGGGGACGGTGTTTTTCTGCTAAAGCTTTGGCTGACTTCTCAGAACGTTATTCTAATAAGCAGATGTTATTGTCGTTTGGCACTCCAGAAAGTCAACAGCAAAATGCCTCGAGCATGCCCCCAAAATGTTCATGGTAGCCATTACCTTGACTATGCTTCTCTTCAGGATATCACTGGTAAAACCAGATTTCATCTCCTGTTACAATTCTTCAAAGAAATGCTTCAGGATTTTGATCCCACTTGTTTAAAATTTCCATTGGAAGCTCTGCCCCTGTCTGCAGCTGATCTGGGTTTAACGGTTTTGGCAGCCATCAAGCCGAAAGTTTGCTCAACTTTACTTTTTCAATCAGGATTGTGTAAGCTGAGCCAGTTGAGATGTCTGTGGTGTTGGCTGCTGTTTATACTGTTAATTGTTGGTCCTCTCCAATTAGGTCACAAAGTAAGTTAATTTTTCCCTTGCAAATTGACGTGGCAGGTCTGCCGATGTGGGCTTGACCTTCAACATCATCTCTTCCCTCCTTAAGAAGAGTGATCCACTTGTAAACTGCTGACTTCTTTGGGGCACTGTCCCCATAAACTTTTCATAAAGTATCAGTGATTTCACCAGTTTCACCATCCTTCTACCCATGCTTCACCATAAATTTGATGTTCGTTTTTGTTTCAATTTTAGCCAAGTTCATACAGCTCTGATAGCAGCTTTTTCAAACTGATGTCTTATCGTTCCTAATACCTCAAACTAGATCCTGTTCAGACATGTTATAACTAGTTGGTATGAATTTATTTTGGTGTGAAACATTTTTGAAATCCAGGCACAGTTTTTTCATAGTACCCACTTTGTGTGATTCTTTTTTGAAGATTGTTTGTATTTTCTTTTTGAAGAAAATGCAGTCAGAAGAATTTAGTCTCCCCCGTCCTTCCCATCTCCTCTTTATGTCGCCCTTGGTAGAGTGCTGGGGCATCACAGCTCACAGCAAGCTCAAACTCTTGGGCTCCATTGATTCTCTTGCTTCAGCCTCCCAAGTAGCTGGGACTACAGGCTCCCCCCACAATGCCCGGCTATTTTTTTTGGTTGCAGTTTGGCCAGGCAGGGTTCGAACCCGCCACCGTTGGTATATGGGGCTGGCACTCCACCCACTGAGCCACAGGTGCTGCCCAGAACATCTTGCTTTTAAAGATTTTCATTAAAGTTTTCTGATGGTACATCTGTTTTTATTATAGCTTAACAGGAATTACAAAAGAAGGCATTTTAAGGAAAAAAAGTTCATTTTTGGGGGGCAAACTAACAAGTTTGTAGAAAGAGCCCATCTTAACCCCAACCCCGTCCTCCATGTCACTGTGAGAAGTTCCACAGTGTTCGAGAGCAGAGCAAGCAGCCAGGGGTAGGAGGTTGGGTGGGGGGAGTGTGCGTGGGGCAGGTTAGGAAAGCTGGGGGGTTAGATCTTCGTGATACAGGTTAGATCTTTGTGATACCGTTTCTTAATTTTCCTGGAGATATAAATTCTTAAGAAACTGGGCAATCTCCTAAATACAAAACTGCCCCCATGGGCAGTTTTACAAAACACTATCTACTTCTGTGGAGTTTTCACGTCTCTCTTCTTCCTTCCCATTTGTGCCCTTCAGACAGGTGTAAGTAGACAGCAGGTCAGTAGTTCTCTGCTGTGAGATTTTTGAACAGGCTTTCATCTCCTGAGATGGTCTGGGGCTGGAGGGAATTTCAGCTCTGGTTTGTGCCATTTGCAGGGGAGAGGCAGATTATGAGCACGGGAGCATCTCCCAGGAAAACTCTCGTCCTTGCTCCAGTGAGTTTGAAGGTGGTAGAGTTTGCTGCCTCTCGGGCTGTGCTCAGATAATTTCTGAAGGCCCCTGTAAGTGAGGAGAGGACTGATCATTCCTTCTACATGGTGAATTAGGAAATGGGGTCCCCTGTACCATTGGGCGCCAGCCTTATAGAAGGTCTTTTGCTCCGTGACAGGTGCAGTGGAAATTCCTGCCTACTTCTTTGTGCTCTTGGGGATGGGCAAGGTGGGGAGAAGAAACGTCCTGGCCTTCTCCCTCTTCTCCAGTGCGCTGACGTGTGGTGTGATTATGGTGATCCCCCGGGTGAGCGATTGGATGTTCTCTTTAGGGAACAATCCGTTATCCTATGAGAGTTTGATGGGAAGATTTTCAACTTATGACAGCATGATGTTCAATTCAGACACATGGACAGAGTATATATGTAATACTGACAAATGCTTAAAAACATTCTTCCTCTATTATATAATTTATGTTCATTGTAGAAAACTGAAGGAAAAAAAAAGAAAAAATTTTAAAAAGCCCATAATCCCACTTCCCAGAGATAATCAGTGTTGTTTCGTTGACATAATAATCTGTGTGAGAGAAGCTGATCATACTTTCCAGGGATTATCCTGATATTAATGTCCACATGTTCATTTACTCCTTGAAGAAAGATTTATTCAGTATCCTGTGCCGAGTGCTGGGGACACACAGTGAGTCACATTTCTGTGAGTGTAACGAAGACAAACAAAATAAGAGAAAGAACAGAGAATATCTCTCTCTCCCTCCCTCCTCGCGCTCCCCTCCCCTGTGTGTGTGTGTGTGTGTGAATTACAGAGAAAGAGAGGCCATGCGTGGGTACTATTTGTCTAGAATCTTCAAGGATTATGTGCCTGTCAGAGAAAGTGACATATAAATAGTAACCTGAATGAGGGAGGAAGCCATGGAGACATCTGAAGGATATAATGAGCCACTTGGGATTGTTCCTATATATATATTTTTGTTTGTTTTGTTTTGTTTGTTTGTTTGTTTTTGACATAGGGTCTTTCTCTGTTGCCCAGGCTAGAGTGCCATGGCCTCAGCCTAGCTCATAGTAACTTTAAATTCTTGGGTTCAAGCAATCTTCCTGCCTCAGTCTCCCAAACAGTTGGGATTATAGGTACCTGCCACCATGCCCAGGTAGTTTTTATTTTTCTTTAATTTTTAATAGACATGGGATCTGACTCTTGCTCAGGCTGGCCTCACACTCCTGAGCTCACGCAGTCCTCCTGCCTTATCCTCCCAGAGTGTTAGGATTACAGGTGCGAGCCACCACGCCCAGCCAGGATTGTTCCAATTTAAGTGCTTTTGTTTTTTATTGCAGTAGATGAGAAGTTTCTCGTTTTTTCAGTATGCAGAAATCCCCGGGGGAGCTTGTTCTTAAAAATGCAGTTTCCTAGTAAGAAACACTGCCATAAACTGCTGAAATGACTTCCACGTTCCTGTACTTGGCAGACTACATCCTCCAGAATACTTCTTGCATACAGAAGAGCTTCTTCTCTTCCCCTGAAAGATGTTATCAGATGAACCTGTATTTTAATTCTTGATTTGGAAAATATCACTATGACAATACTTCAAAATATTCTATGTAATTTTCCCCAGTGGTTATATAATTATTAAGCCATAGTATATCGAGATTTAGAGCAAAGCATTTTAAGTCTTGCGTATTGCTTAAAATTTAATTTAAGCTGACGAGGGGCTTCCTTTACAGCCTTTACTTAATTACTGCTGTTGCTGAGCCAAATGTTTTGTAACTGAAATTTCCAGATGATTGATATACAACCAAATGAGTGAAATAAGACTACTCAGAACAAGGTGGTCACTGTCAGTTTAAAGGAATTTTATCCATACCTTTTTAAAATTAGTTTGCAGTTATGCTAGTTGAGTGGATGCCAACTACCTTTGAGCTGGTGAAGATTTTAGGGGAACCCAAGAAACTTTCAGTTCTATAGTAGTAAGGAAGACAGTAAAGTGGCTGATGGAGATTTCTAGACGCAGAAATTAACCCACAACTACAAATCTCCCCCCTATGATAAATTTTTCGCAAGATGGTAATGTCAACATGGCACAAATTAGTTTTTTTGTATTATGTTAATTTGTTTAGTAAATATTGTCTATGATAATAATAAAGGTGACACTAGCTGCTCTGATGGAGGCACCCTAAAATCCCAGTGCCTTAACATGAGAGATATTTATTTCTTGGTCATAGAAAGTTCAACGTGTGTCTACCTGGTTGGCTGCAGTTCTTGTGGTGAGAATGTCTGGCTCCATGGTGTCATTCAGAGATGCAGGCTGAAACAGGCACTGCCATCCTTAACACATGAACCTCAAGGGTCACCCTGGGTCTCAACATCCGGCTGAAAGATGGGAGAACAGAGGTGGTTTTAGAATATGGGAAGACTTTGCTGGCCACTGTTGGAAGTGGAACACATTCAGAATAGCAGAAACCCGGGAGATTGACAGGTTTTGCTGTTAAGGAATGTATCAGTCCAAAAAGGAGAGAGGGAGGAGGAGAGAGGAGAGAGAGAGAAAGAGAGAGAGAGAGAGAGAGAATATGAATCTGTACTAATAGTTCAAATTATTTTCTGAAGATAATTTGTAAACCGGGGATTACTGCCACAAAGAGCATAGTTGGGTTTTTTCTTTTTCTTTTCTTTCTTTCTTTCTTTCTTTTTTTTTTTTTAATTAAATCATAGCTGTGTACATCGATGCAATCATGGGGTACAAAGTGCTGGTTTTATCAAACTGGTTAACATAGCCTTCATGGCATTTTCTTAGTTATTGTGTTAAGACATTTATATTCTACATTTAGTAAATTTCGCATGTACCTTTGTAAGATGCACCGGAGGTGCATAGTTGGTTTTTATAGCTCCTTGAATCATTCTGGATTAATTCCAGAGGGACAGGGTTCTTTATTGGTGCAGCCAGACTGTCTGGGCATGTCTCATTCCAAAGCAGTCTTCCCAACCCGCTTTTCTGCACAGTTCAAACTTCCGAAGTTGGGGGGCGGGGATGAGGCAAAATAGAGATGGAAAGCTTTTGAAGACCATGAGTACAGTTTGCAAAATAAATGAAAACAGAAAAAGAGAACTCTTCATTGTTCTGAAAAATATTGAAGGACTTAGAAAGTTTTAAGTAATAATTTAAAAATTTTACTTTTTCCTTTTAAACATTTAATTTATGATCGGTCTTCCTAAATTACTTTCAGAATTATTTTGTTTGGAGTGTGGTGGCAACTATGGCTGGAAAATTTGCCATCGGGGCGGTGTTTGGCCTTATCTACCTCTATACGGCTGAGCTGTATCCAACCGTTGTAAGGTAAGAAGTATTTACTTTTCCTGTTATTTCATTATATTTAGCCTTCAGATATAGATGCTTTCTTTTCATAGAAGTTACCTGGAACTCAGATGTGGGAAAATTACATTTTCTGAAATTCTGAATCTGAGGCTTTGTCTGTTATCTTTAGGGTGACCAGACGTCCCGCTTTTGGCAGGACAGTCCCGCTTTTCAACAATTTGTCCCGTGTCCCACAGTGTTTAAAAAAGTTCCGATTTTTGGAAAGAATGCACGAACGGGTGGGAGAACAGGAAGGGAATATACGGTTTTCAGCTGCCATGTGGCTATTTTGCCATAATATGAGTTTTATATTATTTTTGTTAATTTTATAATGTTAAACTGTAATAATGACAAATAATTGTTGAGAAGTGATTATCGAGAACTGCTTATCAAAGTTTGCATTGTTGTCAGGCCCTGCCCACTAGTCCCTGCCCCCGATGTTGTCCTGCCTTACCGATATTAAAATCTGGTCACCCTAGTTATCTTATTGGCAAGGGTATTAAAAAAATTATATTAGAATAATATGCTACTATCCTAAAGACCGTTTCAAATTTTAAATCAAATTAAAATTTGGTATGGACCATAGCTAATTTCACCAATTTGGAGGCTAACATTTAAGTGAAAAATCTACAATTCATTTAAAAATTTCAAGAGGTAGTTGATGAAGTAAACACGGTGAAGGCTGCTTAATGACAGGGACGCCCTCTGAGAAATGCATCCTTGGGTGATTTTGTCATTGTGCAAGCTTCAGAGAATGGACTTGCACAAACCCACGTGGGGTAGCCTCCTGCACACCTAGGCTGTGGTGTCACCTATTTCTGCCAGGCTACGAACTCGTACAGCGTGTGACTGTACTGAAGACTGTAGGCAGTTGTAACACAATGTAAGTATTTGTATCTAAACACATCTAAACATGAAAAGGTAGAGTGCAAGTACAATGTCAAAATCTTACGGGCCCACCGTCCTGCATGGGTCTGTCCTTGACCTGCGGAACATTAGGAGCCAGGGGCTGCACTTATTCCCATTCCCCGAGGGGGAGAGGGGCTGTAGCGAGCAGTTTCCACTCTGCTGCTGTCCTAACTCCCTGGTGTTTCCAGGTCGCTGGCCGTGGGGAGTGGCAGCATGGTGTGTCGCCTGGGCAGCATCTTGGCCCCGTTGTTCGTCTACTTCAGCAGCGTGTGGATCTTCATACCGCAGGTGCGCCTCAGCGTGCAGGCCCTTCCTGGGACGGCAGAGAGGCACAGTGGCCAACTGCCTTCTCAGCGTTTCGTTATTGAAGCCAGTGTATTATTTCATGATGGGGGAGGGGGTGGCAACTGGACAAATGGCTGGCCTGCCGGTAAGGAAGGTGGTGGGTGCTGTTGTGTTGGGTGTCCAGTGCCTTCCACCCACTCTCAGCTGTTCAGCACAAACCCACTTCCCAGAGAAAGGACTGTCCTCACCCTGATTAGGGATCCAGGGCCGCAGAGGCGGAGCTCTGGTCTCTGTTGCTCTCAGAGTCTCTACGCCCACTCTCTGCATTCATTCCCACGGTGTGTCTGCTGGGCCAGTAGATTTTGATCTGTGGTTCTCTGCACACCTGAGCCCCAGGCGGGGTTTCCCTCTGCAGGCCTCTGGCTCCCAGTGTGGGCCGCTTGCCAGGTGATGAAGGGTGAGAGCAGGGATGCTCAGTTAGCAGATTTCCTCCTGCCAGGGCTGAGGAGCTGGGAAGCACGTGGAGCCTTGTTACAGCTGGCTTTAGTGTGAGGACGATGGGATGGGGCAGCCTGCAGAGGGAGGTGGGCTGGTGCGGGGCCGTGCCCTCCGCCCTCCCTCCTCCTTCCCCTCGACTTTCTTTGCCCTTGCTGCCTCTCGATCTCCTTCAGGCCTTCTTTCTTTTCTCTGATTGCCCCTTAAATAGACTCCTCTCCAAGATTCCACCCTGGCTGTTCTCTCCCTGCGTATCAGCTGACCTGAGTTTTGACCCTCCTCCCAGCTGCAGCCCAGGCTTCCACTAGTCTCACCGACATTCTCACAACATCTCCACAGAACTGGCCGGTGACCACACTGTCTCCCACTTTGGGTTAAGGATAAGTCAGTGGCCTTAAGCACAACACTGTGGCATCAGCCTTCTATTCACCCTGTTCTTTCCTTCCTTCCTCCCAATCCATTAATCATCAAACCCTCACATTTCCCCTAAAACCACCCCTGCTTGCCTGCTTCCAGTGCCCAAGTTCAATTCCTCATCACCTCCAGCCTCCCGGGTCTTTTCCCTGCACCCTGTCCCTCCACCCCATCAGAACAGCATAGAAAGCACCACAGCCGTGGCCCAGGGCCCCGTCACCTTCAGAATAAAACCCAAACCCAGCCGATGGACCTCTGATCCCCGCGTTGTTTCGTTTCCCCACATGGCTTCCTTCCTCTCCACGCTCTCCCGCCATCGAAGTTCCCCCTGCCTCCTCCCTGTCCTCCCCCACTGCCTCCCCTTTCATGCCTCTCCTGACAGCCTCTCCGAGGAGAACGCTTCTCCCTCACCCCACCCTGCCAAACCTCCACGTGTCCTTTAAGTGTCCTTCCAAGTGTCCTCCTCCCAAGGCCACCCAGATCCAGTGACCCCACCTCTCCCATTCGCACGCGTGTCTGCACAGCATTTCACACGGGCCCCTTCCCAGTCCGCGGGCGGTCTGGCTTTCTCACAGGTGTGTGCAACTTTGTCTCCCAGGAGGAATGTTGAGCTCTGGCAGAGCAGGCCATCTTGCCTCCCCATGACTGGGTCCAGCAAACCACTCTCCTCACTTTGTATGCCACCCATGCTGTGATTCACTTAATATTTTCAATCAAATAGACTGGCTTTTTATAATTGGCTTTGGCTTAAACAATAGTATTGCTGAAATCGTATTATACTAGTGATATGTCTTTCTGAAATATACTAACATAATCTAACAAGTAATAAAACCAAGTGTTGGTACTACCTGGAGTAGCTTTGTGCACACAGGTAGTGCAGGTGTTGCTCTTTGGGAATCCTTGGCTTAGCTTGAGTGTCTCCCCTGTCCCGTGGCAGGTGTGCAGTAAAGGTTACTTCATTGTGGGGTTCGGATCCCAGCCTCGTGCCTAGGCTGACTCTGAGGTTGAGAAACAATCTCGGCTGTCTGGCCTGCACCCAGAGAGGTTTCGGAGAGTCTCCTGCCCTTTTCTGGAAGCATCTTTTTTGTGCCACCATTTTGTGTTCCTCATTTTAGAAAAAAGATGAAAATGGAAAGCTATTTTTTCAGAACAATAAATTAAAGCACACAAAAAGAAAATAGATACATCTGTAAAAGCAAACTTCTTTAAATTGACTGAAACCAAATGAAGATTTTTTTTAAGGAAAGGATTACTGTACAGTTAATTAAGGACTACGAAGTTAAAAGGGATTTTTAATTTTGATTAACACATCTTCAACAGACTCTATTAGAAGAGCTTTACAAAAACTAGTTTTCACTTGATGCAGACACTGTTGTTACTCCATCTTACAGAGGAGACTGATGTACAGCAGGTAATTATTAGCCCGTGGTCACACGGTCACATGCCTTAAAGGTGATGGAGCTGGGATTCGCACCCAGTACCTCTTAGGTACAGTTAGCAAACAAAAACCCAAACAGTGTAAAAGGGAACGCAGAATCAGGTCTCCCTGCAATCCGACCCCACGGGCCGCAGGCTCCTTCTCTAAGACGACCTCTGGCACAGGATCTTGTGTATATTTGTAGAGATATTCTGTGAAGCTGTTGCATTGGAAGCAACAAAAGCTGCCTGTTGTTTTTAATGAGTAAAGAAAAAGGAATAATTAAATTTCCTGTTACTCTGATTTGTGGATGTCAAACTGCCTGGGCAGCTAGTGTTTTCATTTAGAGGAATGGACATGTTGGTGGAGAAAGATAAGGAAGAAGACGCGTGATAATCGCTTGTTCTGATGCTTTCCTTACCAACTATTATTTTCCAGTAGTCTAGAAATGGTGAACACATTTTGTTTTTTGTGTGTGTTCATAAACTTATTTGGCCAAGGTTTATTGAGTGTTGATTTTGAACTAACCCCCCTGCTGGCTACTAGTTCTAGGAGGACTAGAGGGGAAGGCAGGAGGGCAAACCATCACCCCACCTGGAGCAAAAGGCCCAGGAGGGGACACGCTGGGGCTGTGGGGCTCTAGAAGAGGGTACCAACTCACTCGGGTTACAGGGCAGGCACCCTGGAGGAGGGGCTTTTCATGGGTAATTGGAGGGACCAGTAAGTGTCAGCAGGGTGGGGGAGGAGAGGACGGAATATAAGACAGAGGGAACAGAACAGCACAGGCTTAAAGGGGAAAAGGAGCACAGTCACTTTGGGTTTGCACGTAACATTGGTGTTCACCCCCGGGTGGCTTGTGGGAGTCAGGAGGTACATCTGGAAAGACAGACAAAGATCTCAAATGATGTCAGGACGGAAGAACATTCAAGCTAAAGGTGGGCCGGAGAGGACCGAATGGAAACGGCATAGTCACAGGACCTGGTGACCAGACAGCAGTGATGGAGAGGAGGGAGCTGTTCTTGAGGCTGGGGGGAGCCCAGGACGGGGAGCAGGCCCCCAGTGGGGTAGGAGGCAGTTCATGTGGTACATGATGAGTATGAGGGGCCTGTAGGACAGCAGCGGTGCCTCCAGGAGACTGGGCCTTCACAGGCCTGGAGCTTAGGGGACAGGCTTCACAGGAGGTTTGGGAGAACGAAGAGCAGCCCTGGGAGCATTTGAGGTGTGGTGGAAGGAGGGGTCTGTGGTGGGGACTGAGGAGTAGCCAGAGTGGTAGGTGACCTGGCCTAGAGAGGGAAGGGAGGCAGGAGAGGACAGCAGCCAGGAAAATGTCCCTTGGGTTGGGCAGCAAGGGACCTGTGACTTAGGTAGAGCAGTTTTGGTAGGGATGGGGTGGGTCAGGCTGCAGAGGAGCAGGACAGCGGAAGCCGGAGAGCTGGGGAGAGGATGGGCCGGAGGGCTTGAGCAGCAGTGGCCTCAGGTATGCATCTTGTTTTAAAAGATATAACAGCAGTAAGATGGGGCATTGAAAAAAATCTTATGTTTCAAGACATGACAGCAATAATGACAGCTAACATTTATTGTTTGCTTACCGTGGGGCTAGGCATTGTTCTAAGTGCCTTAGATGTAGAACCTCTGTAAGTTGACCACCCAAGGGACTGGAACAAACTGGTCAACCTATGGAAGAGAACACAAGGAATAGGCCAGTAGGTATGTCCAGATGGGGCATGTCCAGTCTATGAAAATTAGATCAACTTAAGGAGGTGGTCAGTGTAGGGAGGTGGTCAACCATAGAAGTTCTCATCCTCTCAACTGTCCTTCGAGGCAGGTTCTATTCTTATATCATTTTACTTACAAATAAGGAAACTAGGAGCAGAGAGGTTAAATAACTTGTCCAAGATCCCACAGCTGGCAAGTGGGAAGTACCCAGGGACAGCGGGTGTGGAGATTATAAAAGGCTCTAGAACTTTTCTTTTTTTTTCCTCAGGGAAAATGACCAGCAGAAAGGAAAAAGTCAAAAGGATGTGAGGAGGGAGGACTGTTGCTGGAGGAGACCTCTGAGGCGGTCTGGGGAGCATGAGGGGAGCCCCCTGGTCAGGAGGAGGGGGAGGTGGGGAAGGACGGGCTGGTTGCAATGTTGGTTTGGGCCTTGTACGGTGGGGGAAGCTGGCCAGGGCAGCAGGAGTGAGGAGATGGGCAGCTCCCTGTACTGTTCTTACTCCCAAGCTATGAAGAAAAAGTCTTGTCTTGGATCTTCCATTTGATTCTATTTTGCTTCTAGGCTTATTTGGTATTTTTCAGACCCTGACACAGGGCTCATGTGGGGTTTCAGAATCAGCAAATCTGCCCTCTAGGTCTTGAGACATTAGAAAATGCCTTTAAAAATCCTTTGGAATGTCACTGTAAGTTCTGCTGTTGCTTCTAGGTTAAGTGTACGCATGTATTTCTAAGAATTAGGTTATCTGTGCTCTGCAAAAGAAAATAAAAAACTGCCTTCCCAGGCCTCATCTGTCATGGATGTCGTCTCCCATCTCTTCACAGTTGCACTGTGTATTTTATGATTCTCATTCTCAGGGGCTATAAATGTACCAAGTATGTGGATTTATCAGATAAGGTATCCTTAATTTATTTTTATGGGGGGAGTCTTTCCAGCAATAATTTTTTTCTAAGGAGTTTAAATTATGAAAGGATGGATTGTATTTTGACAGATTGCACGGAGATTTAGTTCTAAAAACCCAACATCTTTGTAATGATTGAGATATGCAGACTTTAATTTTTTATTTATTTATTTTTTTGAGACAGAGCCTCAAGCTGTCCCCCTGGGTAGAGTGCTGTGGCATCACAGCTCACAGCAACCTCCAACTCCTGGGATCAAGC